TCGAGCCAACCCCACAGCGTCTGATAGCATCTCCTTCCCACGTTTCCATGGCCCACGCCCCAGGAAGAGGCCCAGAGCCCCAGGTGGGCCATGCCCTTGGACTGCCCTCCACACCCAGGCCCAACTTCCACCACAACACCTGGAGGAAGAGAGGCTGCCAGGGGACTGGGTGTGCTGAGTGCGGCCTCCTGCCGGGTGCAGCGAGTTCAGTACTTTTCCGAAGCGTTTCCCCTAAATGGCTGGGTCAGCAGTGGCAGCTCCACTCCCTGGTGACTCCCTGCCCAGGAGGTGGCCGGAGGCTGGCAGACCTCCCCACAGAGGGGACCATGTCCTGTCTCCTGCCTGCCCTGTGTGCGCAGAGAAATCTCTCTGCCCTGTGCTGGTCCACGCTGCAGCCCAGCCCTGAGAACACTGTACGACCCCCTGCAGCAAGCACCCCGGCTCTGAGACCCTCCAGGTTCTCCCCTCGGGCATGGATTGGCTGGTAAGGACACCCTGCAGGAGCTAGGCTGTGGCTCATGTCACCTCACCTGACGGAGCAGGCGGGGGCCCGGTGGGATGGACTCCATGCTTCTCCTGCTGTCACTGCTGGTGCACGGCCAGATTTCCACGATGCTCATTGATTTCAGCACAGACCCGGGAGACCGGCAGGCAGCCAGCTTGTCCCTCTGGAGTGCCCTCACCAGAGTGCCGGCCCTCTTCCTGGCTGACTGTTCGGGTGACAGGGCCTGGGGTCGGCCAGCCACACCCAGAACCCTGTTTTCCTTGTGGGGAGGGAGACACACAGAACTATCCCCACTTTACAGCTGGGGAAACGGACAGCACGCTGGCTCAGCCCTCCTAGCTAGCGATGGAGAGCCAGGTCTGCCCAGTGCTGACCTGGGCACCTTCACTGGGCATCTGTCTAAAACAAATGACTGGAGAGGCCCACGCCAGAGCCCACCTTCCAACATGCCTGCCCCTCTTATCTTTGGGTGTTTCCTGAGTGCCCAGGTCGACCCTTATCAGGACTGGTTACACTAGGACCCCTACCAAGTCGCTCACAGCCTGTAGGGGTGTTTCACACATCTGGAGGCAGGCCCCAGGGGCACCTTGGAGCCTCTTGGAAGTGAAGAGTCACTGAGCACACAGACAAAAAGCACTTCGCCACCACCTCTCTGCGTTTCCAGGGTCATTCTGCAGAAGGGGTATTTGGAAGCCAGAACAGCCAGCCAGAAGACCTGGGGTTGGGGAAAGAGCCACCTCTTTGTGTAAGCAGCCTGAGGACAGAGGTCACTGGAAAACCCTGAGGCGGGAGACGTGAGGGAACCAGGAACTGTTCCGGAACCTGGTCACAGAGCTTCCAGGAAGTGGCTGGGCTCTTCCCAGAGTAGCAGGGCTCTGAGCCACCTGCTTTTCACGTGTTTGACCTGATCAGAGGAGTGGGCTGGAGTGAGGGAGAAATGAACAGATGCGAAAGCGTGGGCAAATGGAAGTGCTCACTTGTTAGCATTACAGATCAAGTCACCGCACATCAGGCAATAAGGGGTCAGTATGGGTTATGGATAGTGGTTGTGGAGGTGATCGTGGCAGTGGTGGTGGTGGGGAGGTGGTGATGATAATAGTGAAGGTGGTGATGGTGATGGAGATGGTGATGGTGTTGATGATGATACTGGTACAAATTGAAAAAATGAGAGTGGGAAGAGCTCAAGACCATGGATCGATTTGTGCCCTTTTGCTGTCCTTCCTCCATCAATGCTTCCTTTGTTTATTGCACACCTGTTCTAAAGCAGGCACTTGGCTAGGCACTCCCGTCCCCAGACCTTGCCAACAGAGGTCGAGTGTGGCAGCGCTAAGCTCCTCAATGGAAGGCCCATGCCAGGGAAGGCCCGCCAGACTGCCAGGGGAAGCCCATGGGGGTTGGGACAGATCTTGGGAAGGATGTTGGCGGCAAGTGCGGGTGGAGAGCCCACCACAGGCGAAGGTGCAGAGGTGGGGAAGGCCTGGGGGCTGGGGCCGGGAGTGGTCTGCTGATGGAACGGCAGGGGTGAGGAGAGAGGAGGGCAGAGCTGCAAAGGGCTGTGAGGTTTCTGCTTGCAGTAGTCCTGGGCTGGAGGTGGGTGACATGGACATGGGGTGATGAGGGGCATATGTGGGAAGATTGAGCCTGGCCAGCACCCTGTGGCCCCAGCTTCACCCACTCTCGGGGCCTCTCCCTCCTGCCTGGGTGCCCGGCACTTGCCCGGGGCTCACTGCCAGAAGGCCTGGGGGCTGAGGATGCAGGAGCCAAGGCCTGGCCACAGAGGCTGGGGTTGGCCTACCCTGACTGCCCGCCTGCTGCCAAGCCAACAGCAGAGCAGCAGTAATGGGATGTGCTTGTGACTGGATTCATGCCCGTGCTAGTCACTCATCTCTGGGTGGAGCCTGGAGTCTCTTCTGCCACAAATGCAACAAACCCAAACTATGTTTTCACACCACCCAAAGCTCCTTTGTGGCCGCCCTGCATGGCCGTGCCAGAAGAAAAGGCAATGGACCAGACCCTGCTTCTCTCCAAGACCCTTCCTACAGCCCTGTTATAGCGAGGGGTGTGTGTGTGTGTGTGTGTGTGTGTGTGTGTGTGTGTATACACCTGTGTGCACACGTGGCCTGTAGCAGGCAGTCAAAACTCTGGGCCCTGCCCTCGCTGACCCCCAGTGTGTCACCAGGTCTGCCCCTCCCTGGACTCACAGCCTCTGGATGGGGTAAGGACAGTTGGCCCCCAAGGGTGGGGAGGTCTGTGCCGCCATAGGTCTTGCCCCAGCAGGGCCGCCGCAGCCCTGAGTGGGGCTCCAAGGGCTGGAACGTCACTCAAGCCTCCACCTTATTGGCCAGGTCACATGTGATTCTCCCCGCCCTACACTTTCTAGCACGGAGAAGGCCCCCAACCTCTGGTACATTCTTGCTGGGTTGAGGGCTGAGTTGTCCCCACTCCCAGCCTGGAAGGTGGACACTGTCCTGTAGACATTGTCTACATCCACTGTCCAGACATTCTGTGCAGAAGCACAGAACAGACCTGGGTTTAATGCAGGGAGCATTTTTGCCCTGACACGATGTTGGAAATTCCCTGCTTACAGAGGTCAAACACACGGTCACCGGGGTCCTTGCTCCCCAGGCGTCTGCTCAGTATCTGTGTTTACAGAACAACGTCGCCTGTAGAGACTATAGAGAGTCCCGTGTGTGGTTTCTGGTCCCACGGCTGGGAAGCAGTGTGTGATGCTCCTTCAGGGAGTTCACTGTGGGGTGTGGATGTCAGAGCCAAGGGGTCCTGGGACTCGTTTGTCTCCCTGGGAGGAGACCTGGAGGCCAGGGAGGGGCAGGGCCACGTCAGCGCCACACACACAGCCGCCCAGAGGCTGCACTGCTCTGCTCAGCCCACCACACATGCTGCAGGTAGGGTAGCAGCTAGGGCTGGGCTCTGGCTTCGTGGGGGGTACCCACAGCACTGCTGCAAACAGAACCCTCCTGTCTGCTTGCCAGTCCGGGAGGGTCCAGGAGGAGCCTCAGGTCATCATCACTGTGGCATCAGGAAAGTTTTGTGAAGGAGTTCTCCTCTGAGCAGTGGCTGGAAATGGCTTGCACTGTAGGCTTCAACCAGCAGTTCCCAGCAGTGCAGAGCGTGGTAATGTGCTTGGAAAGAAATGGGTTCTGTAGTTGGTGTAGTGTTAAGAAACAGAGTGGCTGCAGCCCTTATCAGGGTCTTTATGGTGTGAATATGCACTGTTGAGACCCCAGAGGGTGCTCTAGTAGGTGTGTTACTCAAACCCTAACGTCTCTGAGGACTCCTTTTGTGCTCGAAGCCCCTGGACCTGGCTGGGCGGGAGACACATTTGGGAATGCTGACTTAGCCTTCGGGAGACAGGAGAGGAGGCCGGTTCCAGGGAGGTGGAAGAGTGACACAATGACAGCAGAGCGGAGCACAGGAGACACGTCGGAATCAGCAGATGACCCTCACTCAGGCTCAGGAGAGGGGACGGGGGCAGAGGGAGCTGATGCTGGGGAGCGGGAGGAGGCCGACTGTGCAGTCCTAAACGGCAAGTGGGACACCTCTTTAGACTTCAGAAAGGGGTCTCCCGGGTGGCCCCAAAGAAGCTTCCCAGACTCCCTCACGTCCCCAGGGAGACACTGTCCGGGCAGGGGAGCTGGTGGGAGGCTGAGAGCAGGTGGAGGGACGATTTGTGCAGCCTGAGCCTGGCTCCCAGCTCACGCTCCAGGGAAGCCACCTTGTTCTGTGCAGGGGTGGTTCCTGGAACGCCCATGGCACCTCTGCATCCACACACTCCCTGGGCCCAGGGGCAGGGGGCTGACCTCGGCCATCTGCATTTCTGGAGAATCCGGCGATATGGACCTGGTGGTGGGCTGATCAGTAGTTAATAACCAGCTCCCTTGTGGGGGAAAAGCCTGATTATAGTCTGCCAATTCCTGTGGCAAAGGCCTCCTCATTGGCTGATTTCCTGCTCCCAGAAAGAGGTCACTAAAGGTGGATTTGGGGGCACATGTCACCTCTGTTTGCATCTGCAGATGCAAGGGATGGTAACAGCCTCACGAGCAAACTATAGAAAGTCATAAAATACTTGGGAAGTGTTGAGATTTAAATATTTATTACTTATAAAATGTCACTTATGGGCCACCTGGGTGGCTCAGTCAGCTAAGCATCAGACTCTTGGTTTCAGCTCAGATCACGCCCCACATCGGGCGCCATACTGACAGCACAGAGCCTGCTTGGGACTCTCTCTCTCTCTGCCCCTCCCCCACTCACACTTGCTTGCTCTCTCAAAATAAATAAATAAACTTTTAAAATAAATGAATAATAAAATGTGACTTATGTTTATATAAGCTGACTTTTAAGGATGACGGTAACAACCACTTCAGAAAATTCTTGCAAATCTGATGGCCTGCTTTTTGCCAGCCAGGAAGAGCCACTGCACCCTTTCGCTGGAGGGTTTCACAGTGATAAACCATTGGTCTCATCCTGTTTTCTCTAGGCAGACAAGGGAGCAGGAGACACCCCCTGACTTTTTTTACTTCTCTGACTACGAGAGGCACAATGCAGAGATTGCTGCCTTCCACCTGGACAGGTGAGTCCTCCCCCCTGCACCCCAGGTCTGAGCACTATGTGCAGGTGAGCCCGATTAGCTCCCCCAACAGTCTGCTGAGGGGTGAGTCCTATAATTAGCCTTATTGTACAGATGAGAAAACTGAGGTGTGGTAAGCCCCCGGCCCGTGCTGATAACCATTCCTCTGCAGCACAGAGCTGGTGTCTGCATTGCTGATGTTGTAACTCTTGCCCTGCAGTAGGCCCCAGCCCCCGTGGCAGGCCCTACCCCCAAGCAGTGCCAGCTGATCAGGGTAGACATTGCCCATTTGGAATAACATAAAAGAAGAGAGGAAAGGAATTTTAACCCAGAGTGTTTCAGGGTATAACCTCTGGGGCCATGGTGACACCAAGAGACACGAGTCTCCACACTTGATCCCCCATCACCCATCCTCTGGGCTGGCTCTACCAGGCACAATGTGGATTCCTCTTTGGGCTCCTCGTGGCCCCTTGCTGCTGGGGAGGTGGGAGGTAGTGTCGAGGGGCCTGTGGGAAGGCCTCTCAGGGACAGTCACAGGCCTGGCTCTGGGGTCAGTTCCAAGAGTCTAACGGGAGGGGCCTCCCCGACCGCACAGCAGAGTCCTGACCTCCAGCTTGGGGTGCGTCCTAGGCCACAGCTTCAAGGTCACCCAGACTGGTTAGAATGCAGAGTCCCGGGCTCCACCCTATACACCAGGTGATTCATGTGCACACTGAAGTTTGCAAAGCCTGTTTTGCTTTGTTTTTTTAAAGATCAATAATCTTGTCTGGGGGCCCCAGAAACCCCAAGTCAGATTTTCAACAATTTCAATGACTGTGCAGTCTGAATCCAGAAAAAGGCCTTTCTATGAAAGGAATCATTGCCGCGAAGCCGATGAGGGCTCCTCAGTCAGGAAGTGGGGCCTGTTTATGACTCAGGACAGCGTGCACAACGGGGGAGGCATGCAAGACCCACATTCCTCACACCCAGCCACCTGCCCCAGAGGCAGCTCAGAAAGGCTTCCATTAAAAGCAGCTAATTGGATGCTGTTCTGACCTGATCTCTGAGGGCCCAGGCACTGGCAGGCCGGTGCTGGGAGGTCCTCATGGGGCCCGGTTTCGCCAGTCGCCAGTGGCACCAGGCAGGGCCACGGGCTCCCGGGGTGGGCCTTGCAGGACTGGGAGACAGGAGTATTCACTCGGCACCAGCCTGGCACGGGCCAGGGCATGGAGGTGAAGACCCTTCCCCTGTCACTTCCCTGCCAGGATCCTGGACTTCCGCCGGGTCCCACCGGTGGCCGGCAGGATGGTCAACATGACCAGGGAAATCCGGGATGTCACGAGAGACAAGAAGCTGTGGAGAACCTTCTTCATCTCTCCAGGTAACCTGTACTCAGGGAGGCCCTCCTTCCTGGCTGACTGCACACAGAACCGCGAGTTTACTTCCTTCACGAAAAAGAAGGAAGAAATGATAGACTTACTGCACAGTCCAGCCCATGGCCCTCACAGGATGCCTGTGGGCTGCCCCTTGCACATCGGGTGTGTCTACACAGCACAGTGTTAAAAGGCTGCCAGAAATGGCCATGTCGTCATCACTGAATCAATCCCCTGGGCCGGGCATAGAGGCTTTCCCTACCATTTGTTTGTTTTAAAGGCAAAATTAGTTCATTTTTGAAAAATCTCAGCCTCTCCAGAGAGTCTCCTCCAGGTGGTTGGGTTGGAGGAGACCTCCGTTCTCTGAACTTTCCCCCAAACTGAGACACCCCCAAGCAAAACCCTCACACGGTGATGAGGTCTCCCACTCCTCCCTCCCTCGGCTCCGCAGGTAGAGAGAGTGGGGCAGCCTCGCCTGGTGCCCTCGAGGGCCGCCACAGGGGCCTGCGTCCGGCTTGTGCTAGAGACAGAGCAGTGCTGACGTTTATAAAAGCCTTCAGGACTTCATGTGGTCGGCCTCAAACGCACACACGAGCTCCAACCCTACCAAATCACGTGCCCCAGGAACTTTTCAATGTGGCATTTCAGGACTCCTCGATCTGTCTGGGTGGCCCTGTGAGCACTTCCTTTGAGCCAGGCCCTGTGCTGAGCACCCGCTACTTGCTGGGCCTCAGGGCGGGGACACCTACCTCACATTGGGTTCTAGCAGGTGCTGGGGTGTCCCGACGATGGCAGCCAAGTGGAGTGTGGTGACAATGTGACCCACCCTGAGACAGAGGCCCTCCTGATGGTGCGGCGGCCCACAGGGATGTGCGGCCTCCCAGGCGGCCCATCTCTCTTATCCAAGCACATAAAACCCACCTGAGGCCTATAATCGGCCGCGTCTCAGGTCTGCTGGCACCTGGCTCCCGGTGGCTGTTCAGGGCGGGCTTATGTTTTCTCCGCAGCCTTCGCAGATTTGCCAGGGCCGCGGCTGTGACTTAATTGAGCTTCATTTCCATCATCCACTGCTCAAGACATCCGCAGGGCTCTGCCTCTCAGAGAGTTTAGCAAGAGGAAAGTAGGGCAGAAATCCTCCCAGAGGCAAGAGGGATGTGCCCCTACACCCCCCCCCCCCCCCGTGCCGGCAGCGTCTCACCACGTGACCAGAAACCAAAGGGGTGGGGTCTGGGAAGGCTTCTGCGTCAGCCCTAAGCCTGCCCGCAGCTGCAGCTTGGACGCCCCCAGTGACGGGGAGCTCATCAGCTGACAGGTAATTCAGCTCCTGTTTGCACAGCCTGAGCTGCTGGAAAGACCCTTCTTTTCCAAGGGTGGACACCTGCCTCCCCAACCTTGGGTTCTAGTGCTTTCTGCTGGCATACCCCCCTCCTCCACTACCCGAGACAGGAAGCTCTTCGTCCACCTCAGCCCGTCAGGGACTCTGGGATCTCTCCTCCTTCATCCTGGGCGTCCCCAGCACCTGCACCGTCAGCCTCCTCTGCTGCCCCGCTGCTGCCCACGCGGTGAGGACCCCACGGACTCCAAGCTGGCCACGCCCACACGACCCATGGCCACGCCTTCAGGACAACGGGCCACGCCCACAGGAACACCAGGCCGCTGCCCCTTGTCAGTGGTCTTTAAAACTCTCATTGCAGCATTCCTAGCTATGTCATTCAGTGTTCAAAAATTAAGATGAGACAGGCCCATCCCCCCGCCCATCACCCAGTTTATCAATTGCCAGTGGCCTTCTCCGTTAGATGGATGCTCTACACTTCTGTCCTGAGTTCTGGGGCCTTCATTACAAAACCCACCCAGAGACTGTCATAGTGCTGGCAGAAGGGGCCACAAATGCCTGTGGCTGCTGAGAGCCTGGGAGTGCCCCCTCAGATGGGGCTGCTGCTTCCGGCAGGGCCTGCACCACCGGCACTGTGTCCACCTCAGTCACCACATGGCAGAGAATGTTCTAGGCTATTCTACCACACAAGGGAACACACACATTACTGGGCACCGGCGATATGCCAGGTACTGCTAGGCACCTGCTACAGGAGGCCACATTTAATTCTTAGCCAGCCTGTGGGGTGGAGAGTTTCCTCACCCCATCCCCATCTTAAGTGATTTTGTATGAATGGCATGATGTCGACACTATCGAAGTGCGAAGTTCATGAGTTTTGACAAGCAGAGAAACAATGAACTGGTCCATCTGACCCCATCCCACCCCGCCCCGTCCTACCCTGTACCCTCGAAAGCGCTATCTTCTTTCTGTCTCTGAGGGTTTGCTTTTTCTACAGTTTTGCACAAGTGGGGGTGGCCTGCAGTGTGTGCTGTTGTCTGTCTGCCTTCTGTTGCTTGACAGCACTGTTCTGAGGTCCATCCACATCGCTGTGTAGTGTCTGTGTGTTGTTCTTTATGTCAGGGTCCTGTTGCTCTGGGTGGATGCGCCCCATGTCATTTACCCGATCATTTGGTGATGGGTACCACCGAGAGGGGACTCAGTAACCTGCCCAAAATGAAGTGGAGGAACTGGAGTCTGAATACCAAGAAAGGAAAACAAATCAAGAACTCTCTATACTTTGCTTTCTTGGTGCACAGCGGCCTCCCTGCAGGAGCTCTGCTTCTGAGCCTCAAGGTGCTCACCACGGTGCATAGCAGCTTTGCCGTGGGCTCTCACGGGACCATGGAGCCACCAGTGTCCAGAGTCCCAGCACTGAAGTCCCACATGTGGTGGGTGAAGGGGTGTGGATTCCTCTCTATAAACACAAGACAGTCAGTTACTAGTCTAAGTAAATACGCCTTCTTTCAGGATGACAGCTAAGTGCCCCACACCAAGCAGCAGTGCAGGGGCTGGGTCGGAATCCCATTGTGCTGAGCCCCACAAAAGTCTTTGTGCTTTTTGGTAAATCTCCACGGACACATCTCATACATCCTGGAAGGTTCACGCATCCGTGGGTTTCTACAAGGGGAGCCCACTACGTAAATGCCTCTAGGACAAGACATAGACCGTGAGCAGCTCCAGGGCCCCCTCCTGCTCCCTCCCAGCCACGCGGCCCCACATCGTTAAAGTGAGTCTTCTTCCTGCTACTAGGGCCTTGGTCCAGCTGGGTAGGCATAAGGCCTCTGGCCACACACCGCGGACACAGCGTCCAGTTCAAATGTGCATGGAGAGTGAGAGGGTTCCCAGAGCTGCGCCGGGCACCTTCAGGCCACTCCTGAGTGACAATGACCTCCCAACCCCACCTGAGAGCCACCCACACTTCAGATCGTCCAGGTGGGATAAGGACGGTTAAGCGTCCTGTTCTTCTGGGCCCTCCTTTCTGCCGTGCACACCCCAGTCCCAGCGCTCAGGCCTCAGGTAGAGGGAACTTGTTGGTGTCTGTGCAGAACCGCATGCTTGCCGGCTCCACGGACACCAGGCTTCCACTCAGGGCCACCTGTCTTCCCCCCCAGGTCCCCAGTGTCGGGGGGAGGTGGCCCCAGAGTGGCAGGGAAGCCGGTTCTCCTGGATTGACTCTGGCACCCACTTTCTCCTCGCCATCTGCTAAGGTGTCATCACTGAGATGGAAAGGGCTCAAGCCCCTTCCTACCCTTACTCACCCCTGTCCAAGTGCAGGGGCGACTAGTGACTGTTCACCTGCACTGGCCTCTGATGTGACGTCAGACATCTGATGTTACCTGCATTTCCTGTTCAACACTCAGCCCGTGAGCAGGCCTGCTGAGGCCCTCATTCAGGTGGGGAAACTGAGGCCCGAGGGAGTGAAGCACCACGCCAGTTTCGCACCCCTGGGAAGTGTTCCGGGCCTCACCCTCCTTCAGAAACCACATTTGGATCTCTGATGAGGAAAATGCTGTGCACTCAAGAAACGCCTTTCTCTCTGAGCGTGAAGCCATCATGAGCCAGCTTAGGCTCTTAGATCGGCAAATCCCAGAGCTCCAACCAACAGGATTAGATACAGGTTTTCCCCCCAAAGTGGAGCCGCTGCCGTGGTTAAGGGTGCATTGTGTGTCGGTGGGATGCAGATGGACTGTGTCAACATGCAGGCGAGCCCGCAGACTGATAGTTCCCGGACCGTCCTCACAGCAATGACCAGCACTGGCTCTGGGGTCATGAGGTCGGGGGAGGAAGAGAGAGGCAGGCAGTGCAGGCGGAGACCTGCTGTGTGCAGGGGGTGCGGCCGGAGCCCCTGCACCGGCTTCCCGTCCCTCTGGATGGCCGCCCACCAGACACGGAGACTGTGATGAGAAGGGCCGGTGAGGCCACGGGGAGCGAGAGCCCGTGGCCCAAAGACCTGGGAGCCTTGTGACTGTGACACAGGCAGGGTGCACAGCGGCGGGAAAGGAGACCCCTCGTCTGGGGACCTGGCCATTTACGCAGATAGGAGGGGGCTCGCACTCGGTGCATGTGGCTCTGTCTGCTGCACACCCAGGCTCCTGACAGTTCCTCCCCCAAAGAGACCAAGTTCCTAAGCACAAGAGTCTATCAGTAAATACACACCCAAGTGCCAGGGTGCCCCTGACCAGCAGGGGGTAACCTCCTGGGCCTCCAGGAGCAAGTCAGGGAAACTTCTGGGCAGCGAGAATAAATTACTCTCATCTTTTTGAAATTCATCATCTTTTTTTGGCAACATGACCAGGGCATCTGGTTTTGTTTCTGTAAGTCTGTGCCTACACACTTGGTTAGATTACGTTAAGCGTGCCCCACTCTATGTCTTAGGAAACTCATCATCTCAAAGTGTGCAATTCAGCGGTTTTGCAATTCTGGGACAATCCCGGAATGCCATCCTCACCCCAGTAGTTACTCGCCTCCCCAAGCGCCTGAACCACCAATACTTCTGGACCACTGCCTGTTCTAGACATTTCACATGAACGGGATCTGACAACACGTGGTGCCCTGTGCCTGGCTTCTCTCACCGCACACGTTCCCGTGGCTCATCCAAGATGAAGTGTGTGTCAGTGCTTCATTCCTTCCATGGGTAAACAGCACGCCGTGTTGTTGGTGGACCACATTGTGTGTATTTACGCACTGCTGGATGGACATTCGGAGTGTCCCCTCGCTTTGGCCACTGTGACCAGAGCTGCAGTGGCCCTCTGTGTGCAGTGCTGTGTGGACATGGGCCCACGTCTCTCAGGTGCAGAAGTGCTGCATTATGTGGTCATTCTGGGCCTAAGTTTTTGAGAAGCCACCAAACAGGTTTCCATGGCGGCTGCCCCGGTTTGCAGCCCACCAGCTCTGTCCTGGGTCCTAGTCTCTCCACACCCTCAGCAACACCTGTAACCGGCTGTGCTCTCGATCAAGACCTGCCTGGTGCATAAGAAGTGGCATCTCACTGCGATTCCAGTGCATTCCCCTGACGACCAATGTTTTCACGTCCTTAGCCATTTGTCTTTTCTTTGGAGAAGGATCTGTTGAACCCCTCTGCCCATTTGTCAGTTGGGTTATTTACCTTTTTATTCTTGAGTCGTTCGCCACACGTGCCAAATGCTAGGTCCTCGTCAGATCTGTGATTTGCAGACAGCCTCTCCCGCTGTGGAGTACCTGCACCTTCTTTATGCTTTTTTAAGCCCCTGAACATTGACTCTAGAATTTCTGTAGAGGCTGGTCTGAGCTCCCACAGCTGCGTGGCCTTGGGCAGGTCAGCCCCTCTCTCTGGGCCTCCATTTTCTATACCACAGGGTGGCAGCAATCTGTGAGATCTAGTGTGAGGAGGTCTGACGGATGGTGTGGACGCGGGCTGGCCCGGGCGGACGTGCAGGGAGGATGGGCATGGAATGTGTCGCTCCCCACTCACCGGTGTGTCCGTCCGCCACCAGCCAACAACATCTGCTTCTACGGCGAGTGCTCCTACTACTGCTCCACAGAACATGCCCTGTGTGGGAAGCCGGACCAGATCGAGGGCTCGCTGGCAGCCTTCCTGCCTGACCTGTCCGTGGCTAAGAGGAAGACGTGGCGGAACCCGTGGCGGCGCTCCTACCACAAGCGCAAGAAGGCAGAGTGAGTGTGGGATGGGCCGACCCCACCTCATCCTGACATAGCTGTGCTCAGAGGGGCCTCAGGCCTGTCGGGGGCCACAGGTGTGAAGGAGGGTTGGGCAGGGAGGCGTGCCCAGCTCCACCAGCTCCCCACGCGGGCGAGACCGCTGCTTTGTGAACAGACAGCGGGAAGAGGCTTCCTGACTCTGAGAACCCGAGGTGTCCCCTGCAGTGGTGCAGGCCAGCCCGGAAACCCAGCCTCTTGGTGTCTGAGCCCAGCTTTCACTCCTTGCCCTTCTTGTCCCTCCATGGAGGTGTCTCTGTGAGCGTGGTGTCCCCACCCTGTTTCCTACCAGCAACCCTCCAGAAACCTGGTATCTGGGGCTGATGACAGCCTCCAGCCATGGCTTGCTCACCTCCCAGCCCCATACTTCTGTTAATGCAGCCTCTGCCAGTGGCACTGTTCTGTGGTGACACCTCTCTCCACCCCCAGTCGTTGCTGCAGTAACCCTGCTGTGCTGAGCTGGTTCGGGCCTCCCTGTCCACACAGAGGAGGGACTCGGACTTCTCACGCTGGCTCCCCGCAGGTGGGAAGTGGATCCTGACTACTGCGAGGAGGTGAAGCAGACACCCCCCTATGACAGCAGCCACCGTGTGCTGGACGTCATGGACATGACCATTTTTGACTTCCTCATGGGTATGTCACCTCCACCCGGAGCCCCCACCCTGCATGCGATCAGCTCAGCAACCGCTTGGCTCTGTCGTTTTTACTCCGGCGTCACACGGGTGGGGGGTGGGGGGGGTGGAAAGGGGCAGCCCCGAGTCTCAGCTTTGCTTCTGTCACAGGAAACATGGACCGCCATCACTATGAGACTTTCGAGAAGTTCGGGAATGAGACGTTTATCATCCACTTAGACAATGGAAGAGGGTGAGTAGTGTCCTCCTCCAGACCTGGGAAGACCACACCCTGCGGGGTGACACTGTTCCCCAGGGCGCTCTGTGTGCCATGCAGGGCACTGGCCCCTGACCTCCGGCTTCTGTTGACAGGAAGTGCCTGTCCTGTTACTCTTTCTGATCCTTGGGGTTACCCTGTGCAGTGGGTCCTGTTATGTCCCGTGCTGCCCTGGGGAAACTAAGGCCCAGAGTAGGTGCTCGCCCAAAAGGACAGGGCTATGAGGAGGCCTTTACCCTCACGTGGACGTCTGGGACATTTGACTCAGCTAGCTGAGACAAATGGCCCTCCCTGCCCCACAGAGAGGGCCTGTGGCCACTGCTGGCCAGGGCCACTGAAGAGCGCCATCTGCCTGGTTAGCTGGCAGGGACACAGGACCCGCCATTCCCAAAGGGTAAAAGCTGCCGGTGCTCAGATGGCTCAGAGAAGTGAGCACTGGGCACCTGGACAGCTGGCATGTGGGGGCCAAGTTCTCAGCTGTGAAAGACAGCACTGGGCTGGGCTGACCGCCTGCCACCTTCTCCACTCTGCCTGCCTAGGACCCTCCATTTATGAGCCCCTGCTTGGAGCAGCGGTCAGAACACTGGGCTACTTCCCAGGACCTTCCTCATCCCAGGCCTTGGGTCCAGTGCTGGCAACAGCAGGCGCCAGGCCACACTGCTAGGATGCTAGGGACACACTGCAGGGGGACACACTGCCAGGGGCACTGGGGACAGCCACCTAGGGCCTGGAAGACCTCAGGGGCCAGTCCACACTGCCCAGCCTCCACGGCCCTGGCGTTCTAGCAGGGTGCACGTGAGGTGCTTCTTCCAGGGCTCTGGGCAGCCCAGGGGTGCTCTGTGCTGCACTCAGCACACAGGCAGATGCACTCAGGACACAGGCAGGTGCTTGGCACACAGGTGGGGCACTCAGCACACAGGTGGGCATTCGGCATGCAGGTGGGCAATCAGCACGCAAGTGGTGCACTCGGCACGCAGGTGGGGGCTCTGCGCATAGGCGCACGCTCAGAACACAGGCGGTGCACACTTGGCACACAGGCGCGCACTTGACACACAGGCACACGCTTGGCACGCAGGGGGGCACTCGGCACGCAGGCGAGTGCTCGGCATGCAGGCGCACGCTCAGCACACAGGCGGTGTACTCTCAGTACGCAGGTGGTGCACACTCGGCACGCAGGCGTGCACTCGGCACGCAGGGGGGCACTCGGCACGCAGGGGGGCACTCGGCATGCAGGCGGGCACTTGGCATGCAGGTGACACCCTCGACAAGCCTGCTCTTCTTTGGGCAGGTTTGGAAAATATTCCCATGATGAGCTGTCCATTTTGGTGCCTTTACAGCAGTGCTGCAGGTAAGGCCCCCAACTTCTGCCCCAGAGGGAGCCCCCCGCCCGGCCACAGATTAGGCAGAAATGCCCCAATCTCTGCAGCATGCAGGCTGGTGCCCCAGAGCCCTGCCTAGCACACAGCTCACACCCACCACAATGGCCCATCTCACAGATGAAGACGCCGGAGCCCAGACAGCGGGCCCGTCCCCCAGTGCTCTCTGCCACCCTCCTTGGGGCTCCCCACCCTATCCTCCTGCCGGGACAGTGGTCTGTGAGGCGGACTGTGCCCAGGCAGACGTGTGCAGCTGAGCACTGACTCCCAGGGGGTCGGGCCGTCCCTTCCCCACCCTGCGTCTGCCTGGGTACTGTGGGCGCTGCCAGGCCTCATGTGGCCACCTGCTCTGCCAGGCAGGCTCCTGGCTGTGGTGCCTCTGCCCTGCAGGGGCCTAGCTAGGCGGGCCAGGGCCTCACGACTCAGGGCTGACGCGGTTGCTCGTCCTGCCCCGGCCCTCCCGTGCCCGGTCCTCAGAGGCTGGGCCCGTGTCCTGCGAGTGGGCCTGACGCCTGTCCCTGCTGCAGGATCAGGAAGTCCACGTACCTGCGGCTGCAGCTCCTGGCCAAGGAAGAATACAAGCTGAGCCTGCTGATGGCAGAGTCCCTGCGCAGGGACCGCGTGGCGCCCGTCCTGTACCAGCCGCACCTGGAGGCCCTGGACCGGCGGCTCCGCGTTGTGCTGCAGGCTGTCAGGGACTGTGTGGAGAAGGATGGGCCACACAGCGTGGTGGAGGACGACCTGGGCCCCGAGCACAGAGTCCTCCCCGGCAGGTAGTGACCGAGAGCCGCCGGCCTGCCAGGGAGAAGGGACACGTGTGTCCACGGCGTGAATTCAGTGACTTTAGGGACAGACAGGCCACTCCCAGGGTCCGGGGGCTGCTGGGATGTGAGGTCCTTCGGCAGAGGGTCCAACAGGACACACTGTATTCGTTCTCAAGACCGGAGAAGGCTGGGGAGGGGGCGCTCTGTGCTCATGGACAGAGGCAGCCTGGCGGCGGGGGCGACCCACCCCTTTTGTATGGAAAGGAAGCCTTTATTTACTATTTTGTATTTATACATGGTGTATATGTATATAAAGAGAGAGCGATACCTATACGTACAGACCCCAGCCCACCTACCAAATACACACAAGAGGCCGAGCCCACCGGTGCTGGACTCTCCACCAAGTTCACTCACACTCTGGACCTAACTTGAAATAAACCCCACCTCTCCTCCCTCCTGGGGGCCCTGTAGCCGGACAGCCGACCGCCCTGTCTCAGCGCCCAGAAGGATCCTGATGGAATCACGGGCTGGTCGGCAGACTCCTGGTCCCAGAGTGATGTAAATGACCACGTCTTCCATTTCTCAGAGCCGCGCGGCAGCACCGGGGACTTTCCTAGGCCACTGAGGGTACTGCCCGTCTTCTGACTTTGCTCTGACAGTCGGTGTAAATATGTCACGTGGGCTCCTCCGCGGGCCTTGGCAACAGGCTTAATTTTGCAGCATTTTTGTGGAATAGATTGCAATGTGGTAAAAGTGCAATAAAAATACAGCAAATGTGCACGAGGGTCCAGGTCCCTCACACCCTGAGCTCAGCTGCTGCCCCCCTCTCTCCACAGAAGTCAGTCCTGGAGCTGGGTGCACCCGGGGCGGCCAGACGCCATGGCTGGGAAGAGGCCTGAAGGCGAGCAAGAGACATGGGCGTGGGCGTGACCTCCCGCCCCACTCCTGGGGTTGCAGCACTGACAAAGCTGGCAGGGGTCCCTGAAGACATGGGCCGGTCCCAGAGGGTGGCACTGGCACCTGTGGGCACCCCATGGTCCACAGGGCCTGAATCCTCCCCTGGGAGCCCTGCCTGGAGGCCCCCAAAATCTCCCATGCGCGGCGCCGTGGGGGCACAGGTCACATGCCAGGCCAGGCCCGCGGCTTCCACAGAGAGCATGCTGCGGAGGGCACGCCGCCGAGGGCCCACCCAAACCCTGGAGCATGAGGGTGCCCGGGAGCAGAGGGTGCTGGACATTAGAGCCCCTGGTGCCTCCTGGGCCCCACCTCTCATTACACTCCCAGCCCCACTGCTGCCCCAGGACCAGAGCTTTCCCTGTGTGGGGCACCTTGCAAAGCAGCCCACATAAATTCTTACGGGTCCCTAAAGCAACACCGCAAGGTTGATTTGCTTTTCCTCATGTCACAAATGGGTAAACTGACGCCCGGTGGGGGTCTGACCCTTGGCCCAAAAGTCAGTGTAGGTTCCCGGAATGGCCATCTGTTTGCTCCAGGGCAGGAGGGTCCCTCCATACCCCCCAGCACCTCCTGGGCCGTGCTCAGGTGCCGGAGGTCTGCCCACAGCCGAACTACAAAAGAGCCTTAGGCTGTAAAGGAAATAAGTGGGAGAGTGGTAAAGTGGCCCCCGGAGCCGGCCCCCACTCCTTGCCTGGCACAGGCTTTCAGCCTGGTGCCCACCCGGTGGCCGGCGCCTGCGCACCTCTGGCCCTGCCTGCCACCCTTCTCCCACTCTGTCCCTGTCCCTGCCACGTGGGGAGGGGAGGTGAGTGCCCAGGAGGAGGGCCTGATGTGGTTCCATGAGAGGGAGCAGACAGCTCGGTGGCCTGGACAGTGGCCCAGACAGTATGTCCCCCTCCCCTCCCAGGCCTCCCAGAGGGAACAGGGTGCTGGCGTCGCGGCCTCTGAGTCAGGGTCGTTGCTGCTGCGCACTCTGCTCCCGCCCTCCGCCCAGCCACTACTACTGCAGCAGAGCTCGCTGGGCGGCTGCTGGAGGACACACTGGCGACCCGGCGGACATCGCCAGAAGTGACCGACTCATCCAAACTAGGCCACTGCAAATGACAGGGACGGGGAAGGGACAGAGTTAACAGAGACCCTGGATGGGGCTGCAGGTGAAGACGTGTCTCCCAAATTCCTGGGTCGAGGCCTGACCCCCTGTGTAAGAGCATTTGGAGATGGACCTTCACAGGGACGATTAGGGGTGAGTGAGGTCGAGAGCTGGGGCCCCAGTCCTCTAGGACTGGCGTCCTTGTAAGAGGACATGCAGAGGACGGGCCGTGTGGGGACAGGCAGGGGACAGCCACCTGCAAGCCAGGAGGACACCTCACCAGGGGCTGCACCTGCTCCAAGAGCCCGTGTGTAGCAGGCCCACATGTGGGGCCCCTGCACAGGCATCCACTTCTGGTCTTTTTTCTTGGGTCCCCACATAGAACCCCCCCCCCCCATCTTTGGAAGTTTCCTGAGTGCAGACAGAGGAGAGAAGCGGCCAGGAAAAGCACTGTTAGCGAGTGCGCAGTCATCTCCGACCTGAGGCCATCGGTCCTCGTCCTGGTCCGGAGGGGGAAGTGGAAGCTCCCTGTGTCACTGTGAGTGTCCCTTGCAAACAGTAAGTTCCACTCCGCCTCAGAGCACCTCCTATGTCTGCTGTTTCTCAAAACAAGCAGCTCAAAATGATCCTTCCGCCAGAGAGGCACATCCGGGATGACCTAACCCGCCTCCCTTCAGAAGCCAGGCAGCATCACGAGAACCAGAACTGCAGGTGCGTCAGAGAAAGCCCAGCGCGGGCTGGCAGGCGCAGCAGCAAGGACAGGTTCTGTCTGCACGGCCACTCTGGACACAAGGGATGTCCGTGTGCACCCGGGCTCAGCTCGGGACACAGTGTGGCACGGCGGGGACTCAAAGCCAAGGAGCTGGGGGGCCAGCGGGCTGGAAATTACTATGGAAGCATGGGATCAGGGTTCTCACTGAAGAAGGCCAGGGTGAGACCCACCTGGAAGTGGAGGATGGGGACCCAACCTGACATCCAGGGCGAGGCTCTCACCAAACTGCCTTCAGAAAATTCTTGCTAAAACTGGCCGGAGGCTGAGGGCCAACTGGGAAGAGGGCGGCTCAGGCAGAAAGGAGGCGCTCCTCATCCCCGGCATACAGGGAAACATTTTCCAGAGGCTCAACCATTGGGATGTGATGGGTGGTGGTGCCTGAAGCCATGGGGCACTGAGTGTTGCCCTCAATGCCTGGCAAGCCAACCAGGAGCCCACTGGGCCTGGGTGAGGGCATAGGAGGCCGTGCCAGACCAGAGAGAAAATCAAGAAGGGGGGATGCAGGGACGGAGGGGACCCAGGTCTGGCGATGGAGGGGCATCCACGCCACCTTGGCTAAGCAGGCAGGATGGGTGCAAGCGAGCTGCATCCAGAAAGACATGGAAGAGAGGGACCAGCTCTTTCTGCAGAAGAGGTGACGGCCAGGCCCAGCCAGTGACGAGCACCTGCCCGGTTCCTGAGCAGACAGGAGGTGTCGTTCTGGCCAAAGGATCAGCTCCTCGGGAGGATGTACAATTACGGGAACTTGCGACTCAGCTCTGAATGGTATTTACAGACATAATCAATGTTATTTTTCCAAAGAAAGCAGAGGTGGTATAAGCGTGTTGAGACGGAGCCAGGGAGGAGTTGGTCTGAGCGTCAAGCCCTCTCCTGCCGGGCAGAGAATTGACAGGTGTTACATGAAACCTAAAGAATTTGCCACACGCCTGTCATGTAGGAACACGGAGATGATACAGACATGGACGCGAGCACATCCAGGGGAATGGGCGCGATTTCTCAGACACAGCAATGGGAGCAGGAAGGAAGGAGCAGGGTCTGCTGCTCTTCACGACCCGACCTCAGGCTTTGTAAGGTGCAGTCATCAGCTACTTAGGCACAAGTTCGGAATGTGGGAGAAGGTGCAGTGGGAGCAGGTGAAGTCAGAGGTGGGGCTCCGAGATCAGCAGCACCGGAGAAAAATCCCCACCCAACTGTGTCATTTTACAGCTGTCACAACTGAGGCCCCAACTGCAGAAATGACTTTCCTGAATCCAACATGGCGAGCAAGAGGCATTCAGGGCCTGGATCTGCCTGAGCCTTAGGCACAAGAGACCCTCTGTCTTCACAATCAGCAAACCTTTCCCCACGAACCCTCTGCTGCTGGGAGAGAACACGCCCAGCACCCAGGCCGGCCTGCTCTGGGGCTCCTATGAATCCTGGCAGGGTGGGGAGAGGAGGGGCACAGGGAGCTGGTCCCAACAAAAAGAAGAAAGAGGGCTTCTCTGAAACTCCTCTTGGTGCAGGTCAGCTCCCCAGGGGCATCGCCCAGCCCGCCTGGTCCACATACTGGACAGTTTTCCAGAGGGGCCTAGGAGACAGTGTGGGCGAGAACTCAAACATGATTTAAACAAACACAAAAAACGGGGGGAAATCAAAATAAGCACCAACCTCAGTGGGCCTGGGGGCTCACTCTGGAGAATCAAGGGGCAGGCAGGAGGGGAGGCGGCGCCCGGGCAGGGGCCGCAGGCTCTGGGCACAGACCACTCCTCAAATTAAAGTAAGTAAATATGGGCGCCTGGGTGGCTCAGTTAAACATCCGACTTTGGCTCAGGTCATGATCTCACAGTTCGTGGGTTCGAGCCCCACGTCGGGCTCTGTGCTGACAGCTCAGAGCCTGGAGCCTGCTTCCAATTCTGTGTCTCCCTCTCTCTCTGACCCTCCCCTGTTCACGCTGTCTCTCTCTCTCAAAAATAAATAAAACATTAAAAATAATTTTAAAAAATAAATTAAATAAAGTCAGTAAACAAACAAACCAATATGTGAAGGGGGACCTGTGAGCTGACCCCTGTGGGCCTCAGGGGACAACGTGGCTGCAATGAGGGCTTCTGCAGTGTAGGAGTGGACACCCCCTCATTTCCAGCCCCCCACCCAGAAGCCTGGAAATCACAAACAACAAAGTCACCCCTTACCCGGCCCAGAGAAGGATGACACTGACCCTCCCAGACTGCAGGCCCTCCCCGGTGGCTCCTAGGGTGTACCTGTCACCTGGGAGCAAGCTGAGTGCATGGATGCCTGGGGCCAGCATCCCAAAGGCCAAGCCCCAGGCCAGGAGCCGTCCCCACCCCACCGACAGAGGTGGACACGGTACCCAGCTCCCAGGTGGCCTGGCCACCCACGGGGTGGCTTACCTGCTTCCCCAGACTCACCCTCACCGGTCCCACCCACATCCTAGCAGGTCTCCCCAGGTCCCCACACCCCACCCAGAGGGACCTTACCAGAAAAGGTGAGCAGAGAAGGTGTGGGCTGCAGTTAGTGGTGACGGAAGATAGGCCTCTGTCAGGAGAGCCAAACCCCAGGGTCCCCCGTGTGGGGAGGAGGGCCCCACATGCACCGAGGGGCTTGCCTCACTCTGCTTGGAGCTGGCACAGGAAGGAAGCAGTTCAGAGCTGGCTGCGAGCTGCCCCCCTGGTAACTGGGCACTGTGACCACCCCATCTCAGGGGGGCGAGGACAGCTCTTGGCCTGGCGGTTTTACTGGGGAAAGTGGGGAGAAGCCCTTAAGGAAGCCAACAGAAGGTTGGACCCGATGGGGTACACACAGGTGCCTCAGCCCAGACCGGGCCAGCCTGCTGCAGGAGCCAACTCCCCACCACACTGGCTACTTCCTGGGGTCACCATTGTCCTGGAAAGGCCCTGGGAGAGGCCTCGCTAGGGAGGCCTGCACCAAGAACACACTCCGTGCCTGGTCCACTTGCACCACCTAGGGGACAGCTCAAGAAAAGCAAGACTGCTCTACGAGGTAGCGACCAGAAGCTCCTTGGTGGGAAGGACCAGAATCCAGGACCTTAGAAGCAGAGGGGTCATGGGGACTCTCATCTGCCTGGCATGTGGGTCCTTCAGCCAGCCAGGCCATCAGCAAGCCCCTGCCGGCCATCTGAGTACCACCCGGGTCAGCCTGTCATATAACGACCAGAACTCGGTGGCCCTAGGGGGGGTGCCTCTTCACTGTCCCAGCCGGATCGGCACAGTGTCTGCCACTCAAAACATGCCCCTGGATGAATTACTCTTCACTGAGAGTTGAGTGGAAGTTCTGTGCACCAATAAACACGTACAGACACTCTCTTCAACACAGCAGAAGTTTGGGGCTCATCAGGAGGGCAATGGGAGCTATGGAAGCACTACCTCCATGGTGCCACAGGACTTTAGCACAGCCTCCCACCCTAGAGCTCTCTGCCCCACACCAACTGTACGTTTGTTCATCCCTATTCTGAGCGCTATTCAAACGTTCCATTAGTGGAGGGGAGTGTCCCGGTCCTTCTCCTGGGCTCCTCAGGACGTCCTGTCATGGGGCTTCT